CTGTTTGCCATAGACGTGTTACAATAGCCTAGCAACACAGAGGAATGACACTTATGTTCAGTTGCTACTTTCCTGCTGTATAATATCCTGGTGGAAATACAAATTGATATTGGACTTGCTGTGAAAATGAGGCAGGGACAAGGAATCTGGGGACCCTGAGCCTTAGAAGGTGGGGCAGAGGTGGCTAGCTGTCTTCTAAAGAGTCCTACTGTTCTGGAGAGTTACTGCTGAAAAAGAGCTTCCTCCCAGGGACTAAGTCCCCCAGTTCCCAGCCCCCTATCTGGGGGCTGATTTCCACTGCATCTTGGCAGTGGAAATCTAAGCAGCAGTGATCAGACCACCTCTGGGCCACAGCAGATAAAACACAGGTGTACCTTCTTCACATTCCCTGTCTCTCTCCATCACTGGAAGCAAAGGTCTCCAGGGCAGAGTCACAAGACGGAAGGAACCTGGATCACCGAGCCACTCAGTGGTAGGTGGCCTGCTGAATACGTGCGTGAAATTTGTGGAGTGAGAAATGTTCCTATGGTGATAGCCTCTGAGATTCAGAGGTTTATTTGCGATAACAATTAGCATTATCCAATGGAATGAGTAGTCATTTTTCTAGTAGTCATGTATGGATGTGAGAGTTGGGTCATAAAGAAAGCTGAGTGCCAAAGAGTTGATGCTTTCAAACTGTGGTGCTGGAGAAGACTCTTGAGAGTCCCTTGGACTTCAAGGAGATCCAACCAGTCCATGCTAAAGGAAATCAGTCCTGAATATTCATTGAAAGGACTGATGTTGAAGCAGAAGCTCCAATACTTTGGCCACCTGATGCCAAGAGCCAACTGATTGGAGAAGACCCTGATGCTGGGAAAGATTGAAAGCAGCAGGAGAGGGGGCTGACAGAGGATGAAATGGTTGGATGGCATCATTGACACAATGGACATGAGTTTGAACAAGCTCCAGGTGATGGCGAGGACCGGAAAGCCCAGCGTGCTGCAGTTCATGGGGTTGCAGAGTCGGACACAACTGACAACTGAACAGCAACAATGGAATGAGAGAACAGATTAGGGAAGAGGGATTGGAGAGAAACACAATGGTAGACTGGTCCTGGGGAGTCAGGGGAGGTGGCTGCCGAGGCCGCCTCTGATGGCGAGGGTCACTGCGCTTTAGGGGAAGTAATGTTTCATCCTGAGTTTTATTTCTTCTTTTTTCTGTTTGTAAAAGGGTTGGGGGAGGGGAGAGAGATTTGACAATGGGAAAAAAATGTTACTGAGAAGCTTTCTTCTCCCATGATATATTTTTTGGGGAAGGGGTGAACATTAGTAATACATAGAAAGAGTAATGAGCAATAACAAATGGAGCAACTCTCAGCCTCAGGAGGAGTGAAAAATTATGGGCCTACAAAATATCATGTCATTTATACTAGGAGGTTTGGGGATGAGAAAAGGTATGCAGAAGATAAAATCTTCATCCTAATAGGTCAATAGTGTGTTAGTCACTCAGTTGTTTCCAACTCTTTGCGACCCCATGGACTGTAGCCCACCAGATTCCTCTGTCCATGAGATTCTCCAGGCAAGACTGCTAGAGTGGTTTGCCATTCCCTTCTCCAGGATATCTTCCCATCCCAGGGATTGAACCCGAGTCTCCTGAAACTCCTGCGTTACAGGTGATTCTTCACCAGTGAGCCACTGGGGAAGCCTACAGACCTATTATATGCCCAATAAAATGCCGGGTGCTGGGGGACTGAATTAGCTCATGGCCAGGGAGAGATGGATGTTTAAGAAAAATCTGCTGCTGTTTACAATAGCTAGGACCCGGAAGCAACCTAGATGTCCATTGGCAGACAAATGGATGAGAAAGTTGTGGTACATATACGCAATGGAATATCACTCAGCTATTGAAAAGAACGCATTTGAGTCAGTTCTAATAAGGTGGATGAAACTGGAGCCTATTATACAGAGTGAAGTAAGTCAGAAAGAAAAACACTAATACAGTATATTAGTGCATATATATGGAATTTAGAAAGATAGTAACGACGACCCTATATGCAAGACAGCAAAAGAGACACAGATGTAAAGAACAGACTTTTGGACTCTGTGGGAGAAGGCGAGGGTGGGATGGTTTGAGAGAATAGCATTGAAACATGTACATTACCATATGTGAAATAGATGACCAGTCCAAGTTCGATGCATGAAACAGGGCCCTCAAAGCTGGTGCACTGGGACAACCCAGAGGGATGGGATGGGGAGGAAGGCGGGAGGCGGTTCGGGATGGGGGGACACATGTACACCCATGGCTGATTCATGTCAGTGTATGGCAAAAGTCACCGCGATATGGTAAAGAAATTAGCTTCCAATTAAAGAAATTAAAAAAAAAATCATGTGCTGGACTTCCCTGGTGATCCATTGATTATGACTCGGTGCTTCCACGGCAGGGGGCTTGGTTTCTATTCCTGGTCAGGGATCTAAGATCCCACGACGTACTGTGCAGCAGCGAAAAAAAAAAGAAGCCGTGTGCTGAGGTGGGGCAGGACCAGGCACAGAACTGTCAGGGTGTGTGTGGGGAGCAGCGCGGAGGCAAGGTCAAGTGTACCTGGGGGCGGGGGTGGGGGCGGTAGTGCGAAGGCAGAGGAAGCTCTCCTCGGGCGGTGGTGCCTGGACTGAGTCCCCAGTGACGCCTGCATCTTTTCTATCTGGAAAGCAGGAAGAGGCATAGGGGAGGGAGGAACTTCATGAGCTTGATGTGGTTAGAGGAGGGGTTAGGAGTGTGTTGAGACCCTGTTGAGAGGTGTAGCCAGGCCAGAGGGTCTGGCCTCGTCTCACATGCAAGTGCAGGCCATTTGAATGAAGGAGGGGGTCACTGCGGCAGCAGGGTGCAGGGGCCAGAGGGCTGGGCTGAGCCCAAAGGATTCATGGAGAGGATGGGGCAGCTCCCCAAGGGCAGGGGGGAGGCTGAGGCCCTGAGCATGGCAGCAACACAGCCTGAAGGAGAGGGAACCAGGGGCGCCCGGGGGAACTCAGGGTAACTTCTGAGGTCTGACGTGAACCTGAGTGCCGGAGGTGCTCCCACAGGACCGGGAGCCCAGGCACCCAGGACGAGCCCAGGAATCCCGCAGATAGAGTCAGCCCGAGACCTGTGTCTGGTTCAGCCCCAAGGACTCCCCACCTGGCAGCGTGAACTGCAGGCAATGTGTCCAATTGGACACACTTTTGTCCCCAAGGAGATGGACAGGAGAGATTCTGACATGGGCCCTGGCTGCTTCCCTCACCCCCAAATGCTGCTCCCATCTCCCCTCCCCTGGAAGTCTGTCTGTCCCCTGAGACCTAAACTCCCAGAGGAGGAAGGGCTGATCTGCCCAGGGAGGACCCTGGAGCCAGGACAGGACTCACTTTTGAGTCAAGCAAGTCTCGGACGCTCTCAGACCCTTTCTGATAACCCCTGCCCCGGGCATATCTCCAATAATGTGTGCAGGGGTTGGGCCCCAACTTCTGTCCAAGGCTGGCCAAGTGGGCATCTTCACACCGGTGGAGAGGCGGGTGGAGTCTCTCCTGAGCTCAGATCCAGGCCATCTTCATCCTAGCTCTTCTCCTGTTCTTCCAGGAGAGAGGGGTTTGTGGACACCTTGTCCAGTTCAGTTCAGTTCAGTCACTCAGTTGTGTCCGACTCTGCGACCCCATGGACGGCAGCACGCCAGGCCTCCCTGTCCATCCTCAACTCCTGGAGTTTACTCAAACTCATATCCATCGCGTCGGTGATGCCATCCAGCCATCTCATCCTCTGTTGTCCCCTTCTCCTCCTGCCCCCAATCCCTCCCAGCATCAGGGTCTTTTCCAATGAGTCAGCTCTTTGCATCAGGTGGCCAAAGTACTGGAGTGTCAGCTTCAGCATCAGTCCTTCCAGTGAATATTCAGGACTGATTTCCTTTAGTATGGACTGGTTGAATCTCTTCTTGCTTGTCCAGGTTTTTTAAAAAACTGCCAATTGTTTCCTCTATGCCTATGAGTTCTTCATGCAGGATGGAGGAGGAGTAACAGATACATTTTGGTGCATTCTGGCTGGGAATTTTTGAGCATAAGCTTTGTGAGTTTTACATGGAGAGAAGGAGATGCTTGGTGGGGAGGCAGAGCTTTGCCAGACCCTGAGGGCTTCCGTTGTCCTGAGCCGAGGCCGCAGCTGCGTGCCTCCCACAGAATTACAGCTGTGGCTGATGCTGGTGAGAAGTCTCAGAGCAGAGAATCTTTGAGGTCTTACCATAAAAGCTGCTCAACTTTGGTGGGTTATTAGAATTAATTGAGGGGGGGTGTTTTAAACATCACTGATGTGTAAGTCTGACCCCAGACCGGCTGAATCTGAGTCTCTGAATCTCCATCCCCCCGGGGGGAGGGGTGGTCAGCTTGCTTGGAAATGCTCGGATCATAAACTCTGATTATTGGAGGTTTGAACGACCCAGACTGTGGGTTCAACCACAGTGGATGGTGGTGGATATAGCTGGGGGCAGGAGTTGTTTTATGAGGGATATTCCATCCTCTTGAGTAACGCAGAGGGGAAAAAAAAATGAATTATCAGGAAAGAAAATGCTAAAAATAAATGTGGTGCGCTCTGCTGGCAGGAGGGAGCGGAGACAGAGCAGATACAGGGTTCAGCATGGAGGTGCCAGGAACATCTGAGGAGACATAAATGAAGAGATTTTAAGAGGCAGAAGGGAGCCTCTAATAAGTTCGGAGACTTCACGTGTTTCAAATTTTCAGGAAGACGGCAGTGTCTCAAATGTCACTTTTTGAAAAGCAGCTTGTTTGTACCCATAGCCATGAACCTCCTCAAAGCTGAAGGCTTCTTGCCGAATTTGTGTTTCTGGAAAAACAAAAAACATGACAAACAACTGGCCAGGCTCACGGGGCTTCTGCTGAAGTTGAAACCAAGCATATTGAACATTTTCCATATGTTTTCCCTTTATTCTCCTCTCACAGACATTTTTGAAATCTGTAATGGCATTTGGCTGAGCTCTGAACCCTGCAATGAACTGGTCTCGTCACCATAGTTTTCACAGGGCTAGGAATTTGCTAGGGTTTTCTAATGTATGTGGGTGTGAGAGTGGTACTGAGATAATCTTGTGGTTCTTCATGGATCTTTGGGAAACTGGGGTGTATGAGAGATTTGGCATTGGACGTCTGCCCCTTTGCAGGTGTTTAAAAAAAAATCACTTTTGTTCCATTGGAAGGAGCTTAGGAGGCAGCAGCTTCAGAATAAATCCATCAAAAGCTACTTCCGTCAGGACCTCTTTCTCTAATCCTGAGCAGAATGAGACCCTTGAAGGGAGATTATGTTTGACTTCAATTTCTGGCCTTTAGTTCCTATCTGGAAATTCACAAATGGGAAACAATTTTCAGTGTCCGTATTTGAGAGCCTTCTTTAATGTATATTTGGGCTCAGTGGGCAGTCTCTCCTGGGTTGTATTAGACAATATGTTTGAACTCATGTACAAAGTGAAATAGAATGAGGGTGAATTTTCAGAAAAGAGAGAGATGTGGTCCTGGAATTAATTATTATGTCTTGTTCTTCCCCATTTCAGAACTTTTGGCAATACATTTGGAATAGTGGTAGGAGTTGAGAGGGTGGAAGTCACACCTTGGGGAGTGACAACCCCTTAGGAGGACAGCTGACTCGTAGACACACATGCTATTGAATGCAAGTCCTGTGAATGCATCCCGGGGTCTTGGTGGTAGCAGCCAAGCTACTGGTTTCAGTCTGCATTTGTTCAAGTGGAATAACCTGGGGACCGTGTGTGACATAAGACATTCAAGTACTTTCCCAACAACCCACTCATTGGTAGAGTGGGGTTGGTAAAGTGCTCCTCAGAAGAGATCACATTCTCATAAATCATCTTTCATTTTTCAGTTCTGCAACATTTCAGGTGAATTACGGATTTGCCAGGCAAATATCCACTCTCCAGATGTAGTGTGTGTATGTGCGCTCAGTCGTGTCTGACTCCTTGCAACCTTATGGACTGTAGCCCCCCAGGTTCCTCTGTCCAAGGGATTTTTCAGGCAAGAATTCTGGAACAGAGAGCCATTTACTCCTCCAGCTGGTTGGATTAAGTTTTCTATTATTTTTAGCCACAGATGCAGATACCTGTTGGGAGTGAGGTGGTTACACAGAGCAGACACCAGAGGATCCACTGTGATGCTTTATGGTTTCCTTTGTCCCTTCATTTACCTGCAGGAGGACTTCAGCCAAGTAAGGTAGGTTTCCTGAAAGTGAATTTTTATGGTTTTATAACATACAAGACAGCCCAGTTCTACAGGTTCATCTCTGGACTGTCATTTAAATTTTTTTTTTTTTTTTAATCTGGAGAGAGAAGGGAAGAGAAAGAGGGAGATGAAGAAGAAGAGGGGAAGAGAAAGAAAGAGACAGAAAATGGTTTACACTATAGTGGGGGCTGTGAGTCTGAAATTTGCAGGGCGGGCTGGTAGGCTGAAGACCCAAGGAAAAGCTAAGGATGTAGCTCAAGTCCAAAGGTTCTCTGGAAGCAGAGGTCTTTCTTCTTCAGATGACTTCAGTCTTTTCCTCCGAAGGTCTTCAACTGATTGAATAAAGGACCACTCACATTACAGAGAGTTATCTGCTTAACAAAGTCTACTGATTTAAATGTTGCTCACATCTAAAAAATACTTTCACAGCAAAATCTGGACTGGTGTCTGACTGAATATCTGGGCACCAGGCATAGTCTAGCCAAGTTGATGCATAAAAATTAACCTTTGCAGTTGATGAAGCTGAAACTCAGAGAAGCACTGGTGATGAAGCTAGGGCTTGAGCTGGGAGGAGGCTACAGAATTTGTTCTGTTAAAGCCACGCTGTCTCATTTAGAGTGTGTACGGATGGGTAGGGGCACTGGGCCTATTAGCCCAGGGTCTCTGATGGCAGCAGCCATTTTTTTCCCGCCTTGAAAATCTTCTGGTTGCCTTATAGGGAAAATAAAAGATCTGGAATTCCCCCTGCTTTCTCAGAATAGCATCTCTGGAAGACAGTACTCCAAGACCCAGCTTTTGGGAAAGTAAGGATTCCTGGGTAGACTTTGGAGGCTGATCCAGTTCAGTGCAATTCGCCTGAATCCAACCTGGACTGTTTTTGCCCTGACCATGTGCTGGTGCGCTCTGGGCCACAGCGTAGCAAAGGAAGGACAGTAGAAAATACATGGTTCACGCCCTGCGGATTGCGTGGAGGTGGAGGCAGGTAAGCAGAGAAACAAAAAATGCACAGAATAAAGAGGAGGATAATACATACTACAGTGGGAACCCAGGGCTGCCCCTGAGGGCAACCTGCCGTATTACCCAGTCAAACCTTTCCAATTCAGTCCTTAATAGACAATACTGAACAACACCATTCTTAAAAGTTTTCAACCATATCACGTGGTATGTGGAATCTTAATTCCCTGACCAGGGATTGAACCTGCACCCCTCTGCGATGAAAATGTGGAGTTTTAACAGCTGGACGAACCACTAGGGAAGTTCTGAAAAATACAATTTTTAAAAACCTTATTTAAACATGTGTTGTTTTGACATTTTAGCTAAGCTTAGTTTGCCTTTGACAGAGAGCTTAATGATAAAGAACTTGTGATCAGCAGTGAAGTGTGTATGTGTGTGTACATGTGTGTATAATTAATTGGAAAGAACCAACAAACATGGATTTGAATACTAATTGGTGCTAAAATTAAAATAAAGGTAAAATCAAAACTCTCATGGAAATATATAATGAATACATGCTATGAATTTTACTTAACTCATTAACAAGGAAACCAGTAAAATGTAGAAACAGGTTCAATGGAGAATTCAAAGAACACACAACACAGGCAGTCAGGAATTGGGAAATGAATTTGCAAATAGATGCAAAAGAATGCAGTGTCCATGGGGCAGTAATCAGTTGCATCTCCAAGGATCCAAATTCATTTGCATTTCCATGGACAAGAATTGTCCGCCTTGCTATCAGTTTTCTACATTTCACAGAGTAGTAAACAGCACAGAGAAGCACAGGTTTACATACCTTGAAACGATGCTCCAAAAAGAACAGCTAGTAATTTTTTTTCTTTCACATTTTAGAGACCTCTACAATTTTTTTTCTGACCCTGGGGATTACTGGAATAATGGCTTTAAGCATGTTATTTAACCCCTTCCTTCCTCATCTGTAAAATAGAGCTGATATTTCTTCACCGGTTTGTTTTGCAGGTGAAAAATGATAACATATATAAAAATTTTCTGAAATATAAAAAAATCCTTTCAGTCAATATTAGATCTTCTTGTACTGTATCTTTTTTTTAAGTTTTTTTTTTTTTTAAATGCGGACCATCAAATTTGTTACAATGTGTTGTTTCTGTTTTATGTTTTGGTATTTTGGCCTCCAACCTGTGGTATCTTAGCTCCTTGACCAGGGATTGAACTCGAAACCTCTATACCCTCTGCATCTTAACTGTTAGACCACCGGGGAAGTCCCCTTATACTGTACTTTTTTCAAACAGATATGCAAATTCCCTCTCCCATAGTCTCTTCACTCGTACGTTTGTCCCTCGGCATTTGCTGAAGGCCTGTGACATCAGGCACGTGCCGGCTAACACTCAGCTAACGACCACACCATGAGCACGTCCCAGGGTCATTGTGTTGTTTTAGTGGTTAAATCACGTCTGACGGACTGTAGCCCAGCGGGCTCCTCCGCCCATGGGATTTCCCAGGCAAGAATACTGGAGTGGGTAGCCATGTCCTTCTCCAGGGGATCTTCCTGATCCAGGGACTGGACCTGGGTCTCTCTCATTGGCAGGAGAGTTCTTTACCCCTAAGTCACCAAGGAATCAGGAGGAGCTTTAGACTGGTGGTGGGGGTGACAAAGAGACAGATGAACAAGCACATCAGTGACTGAATTCCCGTGACATGCACAAGGATAGCTGGATCCTGGGAGGGTGTCCCAGGGCATGTCAGCTGTGGTTCAAAGCAGTGACTCAGTCAGCCACACTGACTTTGCTCACTAGCTGTGTCCTTGGTCAAATTGCTTAACCTCTCTGTGTCTCAGCATCTTCACCTTTATAATTTATTTTAAAAATATTTGTTTATTTGGCTGCACTGGGTCTTAGTTTCGGCCCTTGGGGTCTTTCGTTGTGGCATGTTGCGGTGAGCAGGATCTAGATCCCTGACGAGGGATTGAACTTGGGCCCCCTGGTATTGCTGGGAACCCCAACCACTGCACCACCAGGAAGGTCCCAGCATCTTTGCCTTTCAAATGGAGATGATACCTGTAGTCTGTGCAGATTGAATCAATGAGTTAATGTTTGTGAACATTTGGAGCAGTTCCTGGCACCTACTAAATGCGTTGTAAGTATTAGCTATTACTGTTTAATGAATTATTATACATAGATCAAACAAAGAGCTGCACTGTACTCAGTCCTGTCTGACTCTTTTGAGACCCCACGGACTGTAGCCTGCCAGGCTCCTCTGTCCATGAGATTCTCCAGGCAAGAATACTGGAGTGGGTTGCCATTTCCTCCTCCAGGGGATCTTCCGACCCAGAGATTGAACCTATATTCATTCTAGCACAAATCCTAGATGCAAGAGATGCAAGTCTCTTGCATTAGAAGATGGATTCTTTACCACTGAGCCACCCAGGGAGTCCAAAGAGTAGTTTCAACATAAAAACCCAAGTCAGTTCAGTTCAGTTCAGTTGCTCAGTCGTATCTGACTCTTTGAGACCCCATGGACTGTAGCACGCCAGGCTTCCCATCCATCACCAACTCCCAGAGCTTGCTCAAACTCATACCCAAGTCAGGGAAAGACTAAAGTCATAGGACAACATTCATATATCCTGGTTGCTATACTGAACTGCTAAACCACGGTCATGTAGTCACTGGATTATACCATGTTCTGTTTTCTCCCACAGGTCATTTCTTCCCTGGCTAAGCGGGTACTGAATTATATCATATGGACTCTGCTCCGGCCCTAGCTTGGCTGAGGCTCCCAGCCTCCGAGGAAACAGTTCTTTCTCCCTTTGGGTTCGAGCTGTTGGAATAATGAAATGGAAGCCGGGATCGATGCTGCACAGGCTTTATTCAGTGGCCAAAAGATGGAGAAGTGGGAACTAAGGTCACAAATCAATTTCTCACTCGCGTGGCAAGAGGAATTTAATTAAGAGTAAAGAAAAAGGGAGGAGGAGTGAGGCTAATGACAGGGAGGCACATGCCTTAGTCTGCTGGGAAGGGGCAGGGCTTTTTGAGGGAGGGGGCAGCACCCCTTTTATCCTTATTGGTCCTTAATGTCCGACCCCTGGCAGGTGTGAATATGCTTTATAGTCAAGTCAGTGTATAATGAGATGG